AAGTGAAGGCTGTGGCCTTTGATCTTCATCAGTAAGTATTTTAAATCCTCTACACTTTCAGCAAGCAAGGTTATATCAGCTGCATATCACAGGCTATTAATGAATCTTCCTTCAATCCTGATTCTACATTTTTCATATAATACAACTCTTGAATTATTTGTTTATCATACAGATTAATAAGTATGGTGAAAGAACATAATGCTGGTGCACACTTTTCCTAATTTTAAAGCATTTGATGTTACTTGTTCTGTTCGCACCACTACCTCTTGGTCTATGTACAGGTTCCTCATGAACACAATTAAGTGTTCTAGAATACTCTTACTTTGCAATGTTATTCATAGCTTGTCATGATCCACACAGATGAAAGCCTTTGCGTAGTCAATAAAGCACAGGTAAACAGCTTTTTTGCATTTTCTGCTTTCAGCCAAAATCCATCTGATGCCAGTAATGATATCCCTTGTTCCACGTCCTTTTCTCAATCTGGCTTGAACCTTTGGAAGTTCTTTGTCAATGTATGGTTGCAGCCATTTTTGCATTATCTTTAGTAAAACTTTACTTGCATTGGTAGCAATGGTATTGTTTGATGGTTTCTGCATCCTGTTGGTTCACCTATCTTGGAATGGGCAGAAATACAGTCAGCTGGCTAGGTAGTTTTCTTCCAAATTGCTTGGCATAGATGAGTGAGTGCCTCCAGTGCCACATTGCCTTTTTGAAAGATTTCAATTTGTATTCCATCAATTCCCAGTGCCTTGTTCTTTGCCAATGCCTTCAATGCACATTGGACTTCTTCTTTCAGGATCATTGGTTCTTAATCATATGCTACCTCTTGAAATGGATGAACATATACCATTTTTGTTGGTACAGTGAGTCTGTGTGCTCCTTCTATCTTCTTTTGATGCTTCCTGCTTCATTTAGTATTTTACCCATTGTTGTTGTTGTTAAGTGCCATCTAGTTGGGTCTGACTCATAGTGACCCTGTATAGTGTTTCTGAAGCTGTGAATCCTTACTGGAGCAGATAGCCTCATCTTTCTCTGTGGAATGGCTGGTAGTTTTGAATTTCTGATCATGAGACTGCAGCCCAACTCGTAACCACTACTCTACCAGAGTTTCTTATTTGCCCATAGAATCCTTCAACACTACAAATTGAGGTTTGATTTTTTTCTTCAGATCCCTCATCTTGAGAAATGCTGAGTGTGTTCTTCTCTTTTGATTTTCTAACTCCAGGTTTTTACACATTTCATTATAATATTTGACTTTGTATTTTTCTTGAGCTGACCTTTGAAATTTTCTGTTCAACTCTTGTGTATCATTTCCATCTTCTTTTGATGCTTTCTGCATCATTCAGTATTTTTGCCATTGTTTTTTTTTTGTTGTTGTTAATTGCCATCTACCAGTTCTGACCCATAGAGAACCTGTATAGGGCTTCCTAGGAACAGCTGGTGAGCTTGAACCACTTCCCTTGTGGTTCAAACTGACTTTGCAGTTCAGCGCAGTAACCCACAGCACCACACCAGGACTCTTTCTCTCACTCTCTCTCTCTCTCTATAAAACAACATATGTCTAACAACATACGTATATATGTTGTTGTTAACAGCCGTTGAATTAGTTCCGACTCCTAGTGACCCTGTATAGGGTTTCCAAGGAGCAGCTGGTGAGCTTGAACTACTGACCTGTGGTTCAAACTGACTTTGCAGTCCAGCGCAGTAACCCACAGAGCCATACCAGTACTCTGTCTCTATCTATCTATCTATCTATCTATCTATCTATCTATCTATCTATCTATCTATCTATCTATCATCTATCTATCTATCTATCTACCTATCTATCATCTATCTATCTATCTATCTACCTCTATCTATCTAACAACATATATATAACAACATATGTGCATATGTTGTTGTTAAGAGCCGTCAAATTGGTTCTGACTCCTAGTGACCCTGTATATGGTTTCCAAAGAGTGGCTGGTGAGCTTGAACTGTCAGCCTTGTGGTTCAAAACAACCTTGAAGTCTAGCACATCAACCCACAGCGCCACACCATCTCTCTCTCTCTCTGTATGTGTATCTATATAAACTTTTTATTGTAAATTGAGTGAAGGTTTACATTTTTGTTGTGAATTGAGTGAAGGTTTACAGAGCAGATCATCAATTTTACATTCAACAAATCATACACTTTGTTTCATTTCAATGATTACGATCCCTTCCATGTCCCAACAATTAGCTCACTTCTTCCTTGTGGTTCTTATTTCCATACCATCCTCCTTCTCAACCCTTCTGAACTTTGTCTTTAGGTAAATGTTGCCCTTGAGATCTTGGATTATTGACCATTCCATGGTGAGCAAGTGCCAGCAGCATTTTTTGATGGATTGAGTATGTGTGAAAGAAAGAGAGGAATCAAGGAGACACATTAAGTGTATGGCCTGCACAATTATACAGATCTACCATTAACTGAGATGAGGAAAAAGTAAACAGGCAGTACACCAGGGAGGATCAAGAGCTCTGTTTGGCTACTTTAGGTAGGATAAACCTCTTGGATATCTGAGAAGAAATACTAAGAACACAATGGGTATAAGAATCCAAAGCCCAAGGGAGCATCTGATATATAAAGTTACATTTTCAGTCATCAAAACAGTATTGCTTGTAGTAAACTGACATGTCAGAGCTCTTTTCTGGAAAATTCTACATAATGTTTTTCATCAGACTCATGAAAGTACAGAAATGGGGGAAATGGCATAATTATCCTTATTTCACAGATGGTACAACTGCTTCTGGCAGAAGCTGGGAACACTGGATGAAGCCAGTTAGTGGTCTCAGAGATGGTACTTGGACCTAGGGTTCAGATGTCCTTTATGACTTTTTGTCTGTTGTATTTGTTGTTTCTGGGTTAAAAAAAAATTTTTTTTTAAAGTTTTATTCTATGGAAATGGACTAATTATGCAGCTGTGTGGTGATCAGAGAAAAGAGTGAAAATTATGAGAAGTGATGAGAGAAAAAAGAGAGAGATTAAAAGCACATTTCTTGAAGGTTAGAGGTGGCTGCATGTGCCTGAGGGTCTCTGCACATGGTGGGCAGCACTTGGCATCCTTAGTACATAGGCATCCTTAGTACATCCTAGCTTGGGGATGTACATGGATCTATGCACAGAGAACAAGGCTTTTGGGTCCATTTGTTTCCTCTTTGCAGTGAGCCATAGTCAACATGCATGTGAATATTTTATAGACCAGCATGTGAATATTTTATAGATGTCAATATCACTCATTTGCAAGAACATGATAATCTTTTCTAAATTTCTGAAGTTATTTTTTACTTTACTACTAACTGTCATCATTGAAAAGAATGAAGCAACAAATTTGTATATTTATATCAAGAAGGTCTCCTGTAATTAAAATCAGGCTTTCTGTTTTCAGAAAATGAACATACCACTCAACTTATCTATATTGAGCTTATACTATGAATCATGTACTGTACTAGGGGTTTCAATATCATGAATAAAAAAGTGCTTATGTTGTAGTGGAATGAAACAGAAAGTAAAAGTACAAATACATAGACAGGTATACATCAAATGGTCGAAGTATTGTGGATAAAACTAAAGCAGGTAAGTGGCTAGAGAGTGGAAGATATTTATAGCTTTTAATATGCCTTTCTTGAAAGGTCTCATAAAAGGGTGGCATTTGAGTGAAGGTCTGAGCACATGAGAATCAGACATCTAGGGAAAAATACAGTGGTCTAAAGGAGTGTCTGGTGTGGAGTCCCAGTGTGGCACTATGGGTTAATGTGCTGGACTGCAAAGTCAGTTTGAACTGTAAGGTCAGTGATTCAAGCTCACTAGCTGCTATAGATTGGAACTGACTTGATGGCACTTAACAACAACAACAACGAAGGTGTGCCTAGCTTTTCTTTTTTTCCCGTAAGGAAATTCAGTGAGTAAAGGGAGGTACAGTGAACATGGAGGAGGAATAGCAGGAAATGAGGTCAGAGTAAACACATTTGTGAATAGGGAGGATTGTGTAGGGTCCTGTGTGCTTTGCTTGGAGTAATGTAAGAAGTCACTGACATACCTTCAGCTTGAGTGTTACATCATGTGACTTATCTTTTAGTGGAACCATTTGAACTGCTTTGAGAATAACTCAAGGTGCTCAGTGATAGAAACTGGGAAACCAGGTATTATAATCTAGCTAAAAGAGAATGGTGACTTGACTTAAGCTATTAGCAGTAGGAGTGATAAGAACTAGTTGGCTTCTGAGATATTTTGAATGCAGAATCAGTCAAGTGGCTTTTTTGTTTCAATATAGAAAATGAAAGAAAGAGAGGAATTAAAATTGAATTTAGAATTTCTGATCTGAATAAATAAAGATTAAAGAAGATCTTGAGCCCTAGTGTGGCACGGAAGGATAAGCCCTTGACTATTAACCACATGGTAGGAAGTTCAAATCCATCAGTTGCTCTTGGAAACCCTTTACAGGCTCACTATGAGTTGGAACTGACTTGATAAAACATAACAAAAACAAAGAAGATCTGAAGCTTTCATTAGTTGATCTTATTGTAACACATGAAAATTAACTCTTGGAAATAAAATGGTCTAAGCCCCTTTATAGAATAATTTACTAAATCCATGTGAACCCAGATAAAAGAATCTGTGTCACATAACAAAGTCAAGATCTTGCCTACAGAAGGAAGATTATTTAATAGACTTCTCAAGACTATTCATATTATATTGAAAACATAAATCAACTCAATTTCTCTCCTTGGTATGAAGACATACAAATATTTATATACAGGACAATTCTTTAAGCTTTCAGAGATTCTATTATCTGTGTCATGGGTTAGAAAGAGTATCCTTTCTATAGGTTCCAAAGCTTATGCTGCTGAGTTCTGATAAGTTACAAAGAAAATGATTATCTGAAGAGGTAGAATGCAGGGGTACATAACGATACGTTAGTTATTTCAGATTTTTCTTTTTTCTTTTGGACATGTTCTCAGGTGACCAGGAACAACTGAACCATGGAGACTTGGATGAACCGGTCATCCACAGATGACTTTATCCTCTTGGGCATCTTTTCCTACTGTACAATTGATTTTGTTCTTTTCTCTGTGGTCATGATGGTCTTCACAGTGGCCCTCTGTGCAAATGTCCTACTCATATCCCTCATCTACATAGACCCTCGACTTCATACACCTATGTACTTCTTCCTCAGTCAGCTTTCCCTCATGGACCTCATGCTGGTATGTAACATTGTACCGAAGATGGCAGTCAACTTCCTGTCTGGCATAAAGTCTATTTCCTTTGCTGGTTGTGGCATACAAATCGGCTTTTTTGTCTCTCTTGTGGGTTCTGAGGGACTCTTGCTGGGACTCATGGCTTATGACCGCTATGTGGCTATTAGCCACCCACTGCACTATCCCATTCTCATGAGCCACAGGGCCTGTCTTCAGATTGCTGGTGGATCCTGGACCTTTGGCGTACTAGACGGAATAATCCAGATGGTAGCAGTCATGACCTTTCCCTACTGTGGCTCCAGGAATGTGGACCACTTCTTTTGTGAGGTTTCAGCTTTACTGAAGTTGCCTTGTGCAGACACATCCTTTTTTGAGAACCTGATATTTGCTTGCTGTGTCTTCATGCTCCTCGTTCCCTTTACCATCATTGTGGCCTCCTATACTCGCATTTTGGCTGCTGTGCTTCGTATGCGCTCTACTCAGGCCCGTAAAAAGGCTCTGGCTACCTGTTCTTCCCACTTGACAGCCGTCTCCCTCTTCTATGGGGCAGCCATGTTCATTTACTTGAGACCTAAGCGCTATCGGACCCCTAGCCATGACAAGGTGGTGTCTGTCTTCTACACAGTTCTTACACCTATGCTCAACCCTCTCATTTATAGTTTGAGGAACCGGGAGGTGATGGGGGCACTGAAGAAGGGGCTAGACCATTGTAGGATTGTTAGTCATCACTGAAAATCTGGATATCTGGCACTTGACCCTACTGTCTCTTGACTGTATAATACTCATTCTTTGTGAATGTCTATTTTTCTCATTAATAAATGAGAATCCTGACACTTGTTTTGCCTCACAGGGATGTTGTAGAGGTTGCCACATGTAAATCTAAAGACCCATGCCTCAGCAATATATATTGTTGTTATTGTTATTTATAAAGTTCTGATATTAAATCCAGTCTTTCTTAACTCTTCTTTGTAATAGCTACTTTTTTACTGAGTACTTACCAAGTGCTAGGCACTGTCTTATACCTTTTATATATATTTCATATTGTTTAATTGATGATTCATGGTAATAAATGTGGATAACGTGAATGGAAATGTTCTATTTTTCAGAAGTTGAACCCCTAGAATTCTTTTTTTTTTTTTTTT